GGGGGGGGGGGGGGGGGGGGTTCAGCATACTAATTCCCTCCCTTAAATGTGAGGCAAAGTGATCAGTATGAACCCGAATATCAGGTGAGGGAGGAAAACCAAAAAGGGTTGGGAAGATTGTTCATGTAGTAAGGAAGGTTGAGGTGCATAAGAAATAGAGGAAAGGGATAAAACGTCACAAACCTGAGACACAAAATCCACAAAGACTGCACTAGGCCTAGTTGACTCATTGGGTTAGGAATGGGAAGGAACGGCAAAATTTGGAGGTGGATAAGACAATCAAAGCCCTCGTCAGCTTGTTCTGGGGGAGCCTGGGGATAAAGGTCATCTCATATAATATTCAAACTACCGGCATATAAAAGCAGATAAATCCACCATCGGGTCACCCATACCCGAGGCTTGAGAAAAAATGCTGGTTGCTGGTGTAACCCCCCCAAGTGGTAATGTTAATTAACTGATAAATACTAGTAGAAGAAACAGGCTGAATGAAATCAAATTAATTAAAAAAAAAACACATTCTGAGGAAACAAAGTCGAATGTGAAACATTAAACAAGCAAAATAGCATAACCGAACATGCAATTACAATTGGGGGGAGTGCAAGGCTTGTAGCAAGCATAAAGAGGGCAGCACTGAACGAGAATATCTAATCTTGTGAGAGGAGGTAAGCACCGTATCAGAAATGGTGACAAATATTTTTGACTACAAATACACTGTAGTCTAGTGTAAGACTCACTAAGATCATTTTCATAATGGTGTTATACTAAAAATGGTGACAAATATTTGTGACTACAAATACACTGTAGTCTAGTGTAAGACTCACTAAGATCATTTTCATAATGGTGTTATACTAAAAATGGTGACAAATATTTGTGGCTACAAATATACTGTAGTCTGAATTTACTAAGATCTTTTTCATAATGGTGTTATACTAAAAATGGTGACAAATATTTGTGGCTACAAATACACTGTAGTCTATTATAAGACTCACTAAGATCATTTCCATAATGGTGTTATACTAAAAATGGTGACAAGTATTTGTGGCTACAAATATACTGTAGTCTGAATTTACCAAGATCTTTTTCATAATGGTGTTATACTAAAAATGGTGACAAATATTTGTGACTACAAATACACTGTAGTCTGGACTTACCAAGATCATTTCCATTAATGGTATTGTACCCACAAATACAAAACATTGGTCTTTGACAGTAAGTAGGCTTCAGGTTAATCAATGAAGGTCTTTTCTTCTTTAGTTTTGAGTGGTGAACAATCATATGCTCTACAAAAGCTTTCCCACAATTAGTGGCATATCGACACTGGCTACAACTCAAGCATCTCCTGCATTGAAAAATGGAAAGAAGTATATGTCTTTATCAATCCAAAAATTAGAAGATTAAGCAAAGTTTAATATTGTCAGTAACTAAGTAACACACCTCTATATATTAGTAACTCACTTGTTTTCATAAATCGAAAATTTAGAAGATCAAAAACTTGCTAAAAGTTCACAAACAGATCCCATTTAGATTCTATACATCATAAATGTTACAGTATGACACAGACAACTTAAGTGATACTTTAAGTAAAATCAAGTGTCCACACCTAAAGTGCTCATCATCAATACGCTCTGTACATTCTACACAGCTTAGCTGAGAAGTGTCATCATTGAAAATAATGTCCATATATTTTTCTTCCAGAGCTGCAGGACTAAGAAGGGCTTCAGAAGTACTTGGTTCAACCCTTACTTTAGAAATTCTTGTGGGTTTAATGTGTGGATCTTTTAACATTACAATTTTTTCATTTTCTCTTGGTTTCATTCGGATTACACCTACAATAAATCAAGATCCTTAGTTATAACAAAGTGCATCATTTGTTGAAAAACAATCATACAAACAACAACAAAAATCAACAGCCTAAAAATACAAAACAATATTACTGAGTAAGATGTTTCTTTACAAGTTGAGACAAAAATCCTGAACACATAATTCAAACAAAATTATTATAAACTTTCTTTTTAATCTGCATATAGTGGTTACAAAGTGTGTGAAAAATAATACAGATGAAGAATCATCACAAAACATGAGCTTTAATACATCTGGTAACATTCAAACACATCAGATAACCATAATATTGACACTTTATTATTAATGACTTATGTCACAAGGTCAACAAATAACCTTTACATAAGTGGTAGTTTTAACCAAAAGTCAAGCTATATTAATATGTTCATATCATAGTGACAAGGATAAGGTCAAATAACCATTATATATGTGGTAGTTTTATTAAAAAAGTCAAACTACAATAATGTGTTCATATCACGGTGACAAGGTTAAGGTCAAATAACTTTTACGTAAGTGGTAGTTTTATCAAAAAAGTCAAGATACATTAATGTCTAAATATCATGATGACAAGGTTAAGGTCAAATAACCATTATATATGTGGTAGTTTTATCATAAGTGGTAGTTTTATTAAAAAAGTCACACTACAATAATGTGTTCATATCACGGTGACAAGGTTAAGGTAAATAACCTTTACGTAAGTGGTAGTTTTATCAAAAAAGTCAAGATACATTAATGTACCAGTAATGGATTTATCTGTTGACTAACTAGATAGTGATATTTCTCTGGAAAATTGTGTATTAATTATATATGATCAAGTTCAACATACTGAATTTATTTCTCAGAAAACCCAATTTTATACTTTTGAAAATGTGTATTACTTTGGTCATATAATTGTTATGTTTAATATTTTCCTACTTATTTGTTCACTGAAAATCTAAATCCATGTCTTTAAACTACGTTACAGTTTAAATTATGCTGTAAACATATCAGAGATCGTGGTTTAGAATTGTAGAAATACGATGCATGAAGGTTCAGTACTTTTTAATGTTTTTTTTATTATACCATCACTAGTTGTTTGCACGTACACACACGCACACAAGACAAATGAATTCCTTTATTAGTTAGGCTAGCATGGTAGTGAGAAAATGTGATTAACCTTGTCATCATGATATGAATACATTAATGTATATTGATTTTTTGATAAAACTACCACATATATAAATGTTATTTGACCTTAACCTTGTCATCATGATATTAATCTGTTGTTCTTGTGTGTGTAAAGAGTGCTATGTGCTGATGAAAATGTTTTGCTTAATGCAGTTAATATGGTTGTTTTTGTGTGTGTAAAGAGTGATATGTGCTGATGAAAATGTTTTGTTTAATACAGTTAATATGGTTGTTTTTGTGTGTGTAAAGAGTGCTATGTGCCAATGAAAATGTTTTGTTCAATGCAGTTAATACTGTTGTTTTTGTGTGTGTAAAGAGGGCTATGTGCCAATGAAAATGTTTTGTTTAATACAGTTAATATGGCTGTTTTTGTGTGTGTAAAGAGTGCTATGTGCTGATGAAAATGTTTTGTGAAGGCAAATACTTGACATGTTTTGGCAAGAAATGTGAAAGACTTTTGGATTTTGTTGAAAAGGATATATTAGGATCTAATTTATTATTTATTTGCTTTGGAAGTATTGAAAGGGACATTTAATCTAAGTACTCAATTATCCTCTACTTGAAGATTATTTCTTTATTGCATGAAGAATTGTCAACTTATTCAGACATTGACCAGTCATCTTTATTTTAAGTACATTCTTGGTACCATGTGTGGTAGATCAGATATAGCCAATATATAGTGCATCTCTTTTTGTTTTACTACATATCTTGTAACTTGTATATCACTTGATTTTGCCAGTACCTTTCATTATACATCTTGTATTTGATAATAATTTATTTTTTGTGTTTTTCTAACTTGTTTTTTCAGGTCCATAATGGTTCTGACAAATTCCAATGTCACTACTGCTTGAGGGTGTTTAGTGCCTCCATATCTCTTGTCCAGAAAATAGGCTTGACCCAAAACTTCTTTCTCCACCTTCAAAAACATCAACAGAAGTCCCAAGCTCGCAAGTGTCCTACATGTTGCCTGATTTTTACCACCCCATCAAATGTCAAGACACACCAAATTGTTGACCACATTAGCATGGCTGGACAGCCAGGTTGGGAATCACTACATAGAACTTGATAATTTACTCAGAAAATTACGTATACTTCAGAAACATTTAGGGAGTTTATCAATAATTTTTATAGATTTTGTGTAAACTCACTTATAATACAGTCAATGTAGTTAGTCTTTGTTTTTCTGTCTATTAAGAGTACTGTGTGCTGATGAAAATGTTTTGTTTAAAACAGTTAATATGGTTGTTTTTGTGTGTGTAAAGAGTGCTGTGTGCTGATGAAGATGTTTTGTATAATACAGTTAATATGGTTGTTTTTATGTGTGTAAAGAGTGCTGTGTGATGATGAAAATGTTTTGTTTAATACAGTTAATACATGTGGTAGATCAGACATTGACCAGTCATCATTATTTTAAGTACAACAGTTCAGAACATTCTTGGTATCACATGTGGTAGTTCAGAAAAATACAACAGTTCAGAACATTCTTGGTGTCAAAAAATAATGATGATTGGTCACTGTCTGATCTACCACATG